CCAACAGCCTAGCATTTAATGAGCCAACATTCAACGAGCAAACTCTAAGTCTAGTCTCCTTGTCACCACTCTGTCGAGCCCTCCCCCTATACGCCCCATGTGATCTAAGAGAATGACATGACCTCAAGTGATCATCTATAACCGAAGCTATGAGGAACTATGAAAAAGGAATCCAAAAAAGACTGAAAATGCACAAATAAAACGCTAGAGAATTGAGGAGTACTAAAAAGCCTATTTGGTACTTAATAAGATTTTTTAGACAAATTAACACTATCTTACTTAACTTTAGGCAACAGCTAGAAATCAATGATTGATTTAAATCTAATAGAAAATCTATCATACAAAAATTTAACTTTTAAGTAAATATTACTAGAAGAGAACATATTAGAAGTTCAAAAAGAGCTCAGGATTCAATTTCATATAAAACAAAAGTAATTTCACACTCTTTTTCCAGTAATAATCGCAACTAAAACCACTCACTCAATTTAAGCAGAAAAATTTGCAGATTTTCACAAATTAACAGCTTCACAAACTAAATAGTTCATATCGAACAAATATCCCTACAGAACTAGATCATAAAACTAAAAAATAGGCCCTAAAATAAATATATTTAAAAAGAGACTAAGGAGAAGAGCAAGCCTGGATCCGGTGAGAAGAGAAAGCTCGACTCCAAGGATAGCATCAAAGGAGTCCAGGACTTCAAGTGAATCGAAGAGTAAAAGAAGCTAAAATGGAAAATCTGGGTTTTGGAAATTGTGTTTCTTTAACGCTATTTCTGCAAACAATAAGCTCGCCCAAAGAGAAACAAAAGCAAAAAATAGGAGGAGATGAGTAGCAAAATTCTGGTTTTCTGGGAACCGACAGTGAAGGGTTGTTTGTGAAGCTAAGGTTTCGCGCTAAAGCTTAAGTGAGATCAGCAGAACAAGGAGAAGATAAACCCCAAGGATAAACCAGAAAACAAAAACATAAAAGATTCGAATCAAGAAATTGAACTGTTATTTCAACAATTTTCGAAAATTGATAACTGAAAATGAAACTGAAAAATCAGATGATAGAGAAAGAGAAAATTATGATCTACCAACCAGCAGAAAATATAAAGAAAAGGAAAGGGTTTGTAAACAGATCTGAAACACACAAAAGATGAAATTTACAACAAAATCCCAAACACATATTAGTACTTCCCAAAACAGAAAACCCAGTGAAAAGAAGAATGAAACGAAGAAGCAGGCAGCGAATCAAGCAAACTAACAAAGGGAAAACAAATAAAGAGGAACGAAGAGATTAAACTTTTTAAAATTACACTAAAATCATATACATTTATCACTGTGATGGAGTGAATCTAGTGTTATCCTTAAAGAAAAAAATGGACGAAAGCTGTATTGTGGTAAAATTGTAAAGTAAGCAGCAAGGCTGCCTGTCAGCTGTTACAAAGCTGAAAGAAACAGCAAAATGGTAACCCTAAACAGGTGTATGTTAATGTTCATACGAGGAGCAAATATTCAAGCTCCCATTATTACTTTATTATAGCCCTAAGCTGGATGCATGGTTAGCAGTTTGTTCATCATCATGAGAACAACACTTTCTCAAATTCTTTCATTGTTTTATCCTCAAAAGTTTTGGAAAACAAATAAGTTCAAGCCAAAAAAAAAAAAGTTGGGGGGATGGTACCTGTGCGCCTATATTCTCGGTAATAATCTTGCAGGGCTTCTCCCTCGGTAATAATCTTGCAGGGCCTTTTTCAGCCTCTGAACTTCGGAATTTTGGTCGGTTAAAAGATGAACTTCAAAGGCTTCTCTCTCGTAATGAAGCGTACCGGAGGCAACGCTCCCGTGTGCAATTGCTTTCTCATGGTGATGCCAACACCACATACTTCCATACTCGATCTTCTGGAAGGAGGAAGAAGAATTATATAAGCCGCCTATGTACATCAGATGGTACTTGGGTCGATGATCAACTGGGAATCCATGGTAAGGTCCTTGCTTACTTTCAGTCTCTATTTCATTCTTCTTCACCTACCTGCAGTCCTGAGCTTTTAGACGTTGTCCATCCGGTTGTCACAGAGGAAATGAATGCCAATCTCCTTGCTGTGTTCACCAGAGACGAGGTTCATGAAGCTTTTCTCCAGATTCACCCTAATAAAGCCCCAAGTATTGACGGACTTCCTGGCAGCTTCTACCGTCAATTCTGCCCTCTCATTGGGGAAGACGTGATCACCTTATGTATTGATGTCTTGGAAGGGCGAGCATCTTTGGCTGCTATTAACTAAACTGTGATTGTTCTTATCCTGAAAGTGACCACCCAACGCAGATGACTCGGTTTCGGCCAATTTCATTATGTACGGCTATCTATAAAATCATACCGAATGTGCTGGTGAATAGATTGCGCCCTCTGCTTGATGTTTGCATCCACCAGAATCAAGCGGCACTTCTCCTTGTTCGTTCTATATCTGACAACGTGTAATTGCCCATGAGTCGGTTCATTACTTAAAATCTGCTCCCCCGGTACTTGTCGTGGCGTTGCGTTGAAGTTCAATGTGGAAAAAGCTTACAGTGTGGAATGGTCATTCCTTCAACGAGCACAAACGCAGCGGAAAATAATCTATTATAGATATCTTTAGCCATTGTCTATACTGTAGGTCGAAATCTGAGACTTGATTGCATCACTGTAAAAACTCAAACCGCCATTGGTCACCACTGTCGAGTACTCTGAATTTGGCTGGCACAAAACTCGAACCACTGAAGGTCTTCTAAATACTCAAAATCTCACTTCGATGAAATAGATTTCCAAATACTCTCAAATGAAATGCTTTAGAATGAATGATTGTGATTGTGGTGCTTAGAATGAATGATTGTGGTTGTGGTGTGTTGAATAATCAGGTAAAAAAAACAGAAAGAACGCAATAATTTTAACGAGGTTTAGCAATGTGCTTACATCTTCGGTGTCTTAGGCGACGTTAGAATTTTTATTCAATATCTTATGGTTACATTTACTTTTATAATAAATAAATCATATTACATATTTATAAAAATAACCCTGTACTTAACATGATGCTTAGGAACCTTGGCTGACCTCATATTTATAATATGATTTGGTCATCAAAATCCACTTAAAAACTGCGCATTATATCGAAAACCTCCCATACGTCCGTGCATAACTCCCAAAAGGAGAGTGGAACGTGCACAGTTACTTCAAAGAGTGAGTGACATGAACCACTCAATGCGCATACTCCCAAAAGGAGAGTGGAACGTGCACAGTTACTTCAAAGAGTGAGTGACATGAACCACTCAATGCAGCAGTTAATTAAATTGCTCACATGGGTTTCCCTTATTTTATCTTGTGTTTCTTTGGTGACGTATCGTGTCCGGATTAATGGGTGCCTCACAGATACCTTTTGGGTTGAACTGGGACTCCAACAAGGTGATCCACTTTCGCTGTTCTTATTTCATCTATGCTCCCAAGGTCTGTCCTCATTGTTAGCAGCAGAACAACGTGACGTTCAGCTTCGAGGACTACGTACATGCCCGTTAGGTCCCCGTATTACTCATCTACTACATGCGGATGACAGCCACCTGTTCTTCCGCCACTCGAATGCTAAATTTTGCTGTGTTAGAGAGGTGTTGAGGTTGTATGCTACTGCTTCTGGTCAGGTAGTTAATTACTCCAAGTATAGCCTCTATTTTTTGCCCGCAAGCTTCCTGTTCCGACTGACTACGTCTCCAAGGTATCCTTGGTGTGTCTGAGGTTGCGAATCCGGGCCGATATTTGGGAACTCCTCTTCTCATTGGGCGAAATAAGTTGGCAGCCTTTGGATTTCTTCATGATCGGGTGTTATCTCGCGTACAGGGTTGGAGCAAACAATTACTCTTCTTTGACGGAAAGGATGTTTTATCGAAGCTATCGGCCAAGCCTTACCCACTTACTTCATGAGTTGCTTCCTTTTGTCGGAGGGGATTATATTTGTAATTATCCCAATTTGTCGAAGGAGTTTAATGTTTGACAAAATTTAATTATTTTTTAAAGTTTATTAATTTAATATTAAATTAATTATTCAAAATATTAGAATATATTTTCATTTAATAAGAATGTGAATTTTTACTCGGAATCTGAAAAATTCTCAGACTGCTCTGACATTAACTATATTAATTTAATTTGCTCTGACACTAACTATATTAAAATTTTAAATTAATATAGTTAATAGATTTCGATTGGAGGACCATATTTTGTCGGCACACAAATTAAACATGCATGAATTGAAATTTACTCGCCTTTACTTAGGAAAGCAATATCCAATGAAATCTAGTGAGGAAGAAGGTCAAAGGGGGGATGTGAGAGGTCTAGATCCAGAGGCCCTAATACCTCCGAGTACGGGTGTAAACGAGTCGAGTCGAGTTTGAGTATTGCTGAGTTCGACTCGACTCTAAAATTCTAAAATAAACCTCGACTCGACTCGAAAACTCGTGAGTTTAAAATTTTTAATCTCGGCTCGAACTCGAAATCCTGAACTGAAGTTTGTGAGCAGCTCGAAAAGACTCGAAATGAAAAAAAAAATCTTAAACTTAACTCGATTGAAGCCTCAAACTCGAACTTTAACCTTAAATACATGAAAATTTTACTCTATTTTAAAAAAAATCAATACATAAATATTAATATTATTAATATTTAAAAAAAAAATCTTAATATATTATATTTTCGAGATGCTCACGAATTTTTCAATTTGAATATTAAATAATTCATTTCGACTCGTTAAAAACTCGAATCAAATTTAAATATTTATTAAATCTTAATAAAATCAATCCCGAATAACTCATCATGTATCATCTCATTTAGAGTCCTATTTCGGCGTTATAGACCCCATTTCATCTTCATCTCAATACCAGATTCCAAGGAAATCAAACAATAAAATAATGCTGTTCACACTTATGATTGAACAGGCAGTGATTGGATTCAAGCTGCACTTGTCTCTTTCCCAGCTCCCACCGCCCAATCACACTCTCTTCATTTCTTATATTACCTCGAAATTCAGTATTTTCTTTACAGATTTGAAACTCTTTACTGAATCACACTCCTAATATTTTCTCTCTCCCTCTCTCTCTATATATACAGTGATTCCTCACCTGATATAGTTGTAGTATTCGTTTTTGAGGCAAAATGGAGAAATATGAGGTGGTCAAAGATCTGGGAGCCGGTAATTTTGGGGTTGCTCGACTCCTCAGACACAAGGAGACCAAGGAGCTTGTTGCTATGAAATATATTGAGAGAGGTCACAAGGTTTGTTTCTTTTATTTCTCCATCATTTTTCATCTTCCTTTAATTTGTATTTCCTTGGCAATTTTGGGTTCTTTATTGGTTCATGGTTTTACTTGTATTATCGTAGTCAAAGCTTGAATTGACTTAATTCCTTCAGTTTGCATACTTCTTTTTGTCTTTTCATTTTGAACACCAAACGGATTGATGGAAAGCTTAGTTGATTTTGTTTGCAGATAGATGAGAATGTGGCAAGAGAGATTATCAATCACAGATCTCTTAGACACCCCAATATAATCCGGTTCAAGGAGGCGAGTATCATTTCTTGATTCATTTTACTTTAATTTTCGAGGCTTCTATTTGTGATGGCATATGAATGCTATAGGTGGTTTTGACGCCTACCCATTTAGCGATTGTGATGGAGTATGCTGCTGGTGGTGAGCTCTTTGAACGGATTTGCAGTGCTGGTAGATTCAGTGAAGATGAGGTCCTTTTTCCTGTTTCTTTTTTTGTTGTTGTTCTAATCTATTCATTCACACTTTCTATTTGGAAACAAGTATTTTAGTGCTTGATTGTTGTATTTGTTCTCTATATCTTCAGGCTAGATATTTCTTTCAGCAGTTGATCTCAGGTGTCAATTACTGTCACTCTATGGTAATTTAAACTCAACCATGATGTTTCTCAGTGCATGCCAAATGCAAGAACTAAATCTACTTTATTTCTATGTTTTCTGTTCTTGTTTGCAGCAAATATGCCATAGAGATTTGAAGTTAGAGAATACACTTTTGGATGGAAGTCCTGCACCACGCTTGAAAATCTGCGATTTTGGTTACTCCAAGGTTTGGGAATAGTTACATTAAGTTTACCCTACCTGTAAGTTGCTTTCTGATTTTTCGATCATTAAGTTGGTTTTAACTTTTTATAACACTTGTTGTAGTCTTCTCTGTTGCATTCGAGACCCAAATCAACAGTTGGAACTCCAGCATATATAGCACCAGAGGTTCTATCGCGACGAGAATATGATGGAAAGGTATTTTATGAACTGTTTAAAACAAAAGGAAGTACCAATGTGAAATAAATCTAGATCTTCAGCTGAGCATTTTATTGAAAAATCTAATAACATGACTTGGATCTAGTCTGCCACTTCTGACTTTGATGCCTAACATGTAACCACATAGAGCTAATCTGAAGAGATTATTTAAGATTCTTCAATTTTCTGAATGCATGATAGTAAGTGATGTGATGAAATGCATTTTTTAATTGTCCTTGTCGATGAGAGTGTGTAATACCTTGGACATTTTCTAAAGGATCGGGTTCATCCTTACATGTTATATTCAAGTACCGTTTTAATTTCTTTTCTTAATCTGAGATCCCTTTTCTTAATATGTTAATAGAGAGATGATTTGAGAATTAACCGGGCGATTTATCCTTTTTTATGCAATTTAAAGGTTTGCTTAGTAGTTATGTTTTGTTACGAGATTTTATATTGGACGCTTGTTATCCAAGCTAAAATTAGAATGGCTATTGAATGACTATGTTGTTACAGTACCTCTATTTGGACTTTGGAGACTGATTGATGCCCATAAATGGTAATTGTGACCTGCTTGAAGTTAAAAGTACTTATTAGTTACTGCCAAAGGCATTTGGCCTTTGTATGTTAAATAACTTTCTCGTTTTGGATCTGATCTTTATTTTAAGTTCTGCACAAGGTGTGATTGCTGGGTTGGTTATGATTAGTGGTAACGATTTTGTTTCTTATGGATATTCAGATCTGTGTGTTTGTATATCTCAGCAATGAGACACAGCTTAATTGGCATGGAAGAATTTCCATAAAATGCTTAAGCAATATTGTTTCCACTTTTATGGCAAACTCACTAAGTTTATAAATGACATAACTTCAAATGTTCTATTACTTTCTACTATAAGAAAATTTGATTACTGAAAATAATCCACACCTGGCCTTTCCAACGATTCCCATTAATTTGATGTATTTATTTTATAATTCACAATCTGATAAAATCTTATTAGTAACATATAAAAGTACTGTTGACCATAAGTCATGTCTGTCTTGTATAGTTGGCAGATGTATGGTCCTGTGGAGTTACCCTTTATGTTATGCTGGTGGGAGCATACCCTTTTGAAGATCAACAGGACCCTAGGAATTTTCGGAAAACAATTCAGGTAAATGAAAATCTTCATTTTATTTGTGTCTTTTTTATTAATAGAGATATTTCCATTACTTATGATAATCCTTTTCCTTGTTAACATTTTTGGGCAGAGAATAATGGCTGTTCAGTACAACATTCCAGACTATGTTCATATATCTCAAGATTGCAGGAACCTCCTCTCTCGACTATTTGTTGCACATCCATCCAGGGTATGTATCATTTTAAGTCAATTGGTCAAACACTGCAATTGCCCCACATCCATGCTTTTGCTATAAGCTATTGACTGTCTAAAACCTTACAAGCATCTAGCAGACAATATAGGTAAGTTAGTAGCCCTCTCATTTCTAATTGTTGATTGACGAAATCTTTTCTTTCCAACGGGAGAAGAGAGGAAAAAGAAACCTACTGTTCGATATTGGAATAACTAGCACATTGGAGGAAGAATAGATCACCAAAGTTGTATGTTGGAATTATCACTTAAATGCCAAACTTCAAAATGCTTTCTTATCAACATCTTTTAGCCTTGCTTCACTGTGATGCATATGCAATTTCTTGTTATAATTATTAGCACAGGTATCCAACTTCAAGAATATTGGTTTTAGGTAGAAAAGCTAATTGATATGAAGCTGATATTCTGGTTGCATAAAAATGATACGAAGTCGATCTTCTGGTTGCATAAAATTGGTGTTGGCTTTAATTTTTTTATTACCTGTGGTAGGATTAAAATATCCTTTTTTCCACCTTTGTTGTCTAACTCAATATTGAAGGTATTTGTGATGCTAACTGCATGTTTAATGGACCTGATGTCTGGAGGTTCGTTTATTGAAATTTCAGATGTTAACTCTTTGCCATTTCCTTTTTTTCAGAGGATTACACTTAAAGAAATAAAAAACCATCCTTGGTTTTTGAAGAACTTGCCAAGAGAGTTAACAGACACAGCACAAGCTGCGTATTACCGGAGCGGTATTCCAAATCCGATAAGCAATCAAACTGTTGTGATAATAGTCTTGTCTTTATGGATTTAAGATTGTTCAATAGCCAATAATTGTTGTTTCCTTACTAAAATTATTGATGTTCTGAACTATAAGACCCCAAACATTAGCACTAAACAATGCATGTAGTGTTTCCAGGATTAACTATGGGATTGCAGTTGAATGACAAATGAAATCGTATTGTTATTTGAAAACACGAAGTCGTGTCTTTGCAGGATTGTATATTTGTTTTTGCAGCGTCGGATTGCTAATTCATTGTGTTAGTTGTTCGCAGGGATAGATCTAGGGAGAGCAGTGAGGGCGGTTGTCTCCTTAAAATTTTCAAATTATTTTATATTTTAATATTTTATATTAATAATATGTTTTTGTCTTTTCTAAAATTGTATGTATCAACGGTTCAAATCTGTCCCTGTTTCAGAACTTTCGTCTCCAATGTTTAGTCGGAGGAATTCAAAAGGTGCAAGTTTATATAATTTATCATTATATAATCCTTCAGAAGTCGGCAAAATAGAAAATCAAACCGTAATTTGGCTTTTACTAATATAATTATTTGGATTTCGTGGAAACAAATGTCAACTTAGACAATTCTTTGAGGCTAAGGATAATTGTAATTGTTGATCTTCCTACAAGAGATGCCAAAAACATAATTTTAGAAAAGTAAACAATTCCAATTCATAATCATATTTGGTGTTTGTAAAAGACGACATAATTTTAACCAATTTAGCACTCTAACATTAATTATATTTCCCTTTAATAGTAATGAATGCTTATACTCTTATATACACAATGTAGAATCCAAAATCTCAAAAGATAACAATAAAATCTTTAACCAACTTGGTTTGTGTTTACCTTTTAACTTTTAAATATTCAATTCAACAATTTTTGAAAAAGATAAATATCAAAACTATACATGAATGCATGGACAGAGGGTCGTTGGGACTTAAAGAGACCCTAACCCAATTATAAATTCAATTTTTATCGTATAAGAATTGTTAAAAAATTTGCAAAGATTTAGTCTCTCAAAATAGAATATAATAAGTTGTAATGTCTTTGTTCTTACAACATAAAATATTGCGATAGCAATAAAGTAAGCTCTATCTACTTTGATTATCAGAGATTTATCCAAATGATTCAAATTCAATTGAGTATCAATTTTTAAAGGTAAGAATTTAAGTAATATTATATTTATTAATTGAAGATGTTTGATCTTATATTTAATTTTAGTATATTTAGTACAATGTTACTCGTTGATGCATTTCAAGATTCTAATGAACGATATTTTATTATGATTATGTAATAGTTTGACACGTTTTAAAATCGTATATTTTTTATTATTTATTTTAATTTAATTTTTTATTTTCTACTAATTATTTCATAGAAATGATAGAATTAATATGCATATTCGATGTTATCATTTATATTTATTGAAATAAATAAATAAATATAGATAAAACTATGGGTAAATTTAAAGCTATTAAAAAGATCCGACTTCTTTTAGGATTAAGTTCCGACTCCATCCCTGCATGAACATTAATGAAATATATAATATTATACATGTACTTTGGTTTTGTGTAATAAATATATAAAATTTTGATTTAATTTAATTTAAAATAATTATCAATAAATATCATTTTATATTTACATATTACACATACAAAATTATATTCATCCAATATAAAAATAAATGGTTATGTTTATTTTAAAATATTTATAATGGAATCAAAATTTAATTTAAGCAAAGTTTATGCGATAGTCTTGCAAAAGTAACTTGTGGAGATTTCCTCATTGTCTTCGTCAGTTTTGTTGGAAATTTTAGTTTATCGAACCATTATTGTTCCTAAAAAAATAAGTCAACAAAAAAAATTATTTTCCCATGGCGTTATTCGAAAAGAAATAGAGGTTTTGAGTACAAAACCTAAGTGTACTAATATAAAAAAATATATATATTAAAAGACGTAATCTAAAAAAGGGAAGTATACATCAATAAAATTTTAAACTTAAATCAAATAATTTTTTCTTTACTTTTATTAATCTAAGTGAATATAATATAATATTTATTCAAATAACTATCAATCATTTCACAATTAATGTTCATATATTCTTACATATATAGTATTCCAACGCGAGAGCGCAAAGTATATCAATCAAATAAAAACTTTAAGGGTACTACTAAACCTACCGAAAAAATAATAAAAAATTTAGTCATGTTGAAAACAACAATTAGTGGACTAACCCTTTTTCAGTTTTATTTTCCCAGGCCCTACTAGACTACACGTGGCGTTTTGTTGTTGACTTTGTTTATCATGTTACTATCATTTCACTATCATTTTACTAAAAAATATAATAATAAAAATCAAATATTCATTGATTTAATTTAATTACCAGATTAAAACTAGATTGATGTTTGATTCAAATCATATTTGGACAAATTTAATTCAAACTATCGGGTCGGGCTTTTTTAAAAAAAAATTGGGTTCGGATCGTGTCAGATTTTTTAAGGACAAAGTTCAGGTTTGGTTGGACCACCCTATCCGACCCATGTTTATCCTACCGGTGATATCAACCGCTCGACAAATCGTAGCCGACAAAGAAGTCTGCTTACGACCTACCAAAGGAGTCGTGGGCAATACGTAAATAATTGCAATATAAATATAAAAATTATTCAAACATCGAAACTTTTAAAATAATTTGATATTTATCAATGAATGTTTTAATATTTATTTTTTACATGTATGTATAATTAAATAATAGCGTAAATACTACACGTATATTTATTATTTACTTAATAAGAACATTTTAGTTAATAATTTTAATATGTCGCTTTAATAATATATGGTATACAACATACGTTGTAGACTTATCCTAATTTAAATTATCAATGTTATAAATAATATTGATTTCTTTAATTGGAATTAAAGATTTAAATCCGATATAATGAATAAAAATAGAGCTAAAAATTATCTGTAATAATGTTTATATATTTATTTATGAAATATATATTGTGTAAGATCCGGTTGGAATGAATGGGAGGCGGTTGGGTACGTTGAGTTCAGCGCATGAAACATAGAAAAAGGTGAGTTGCTGTCCAAATGCTGACAAAGCATTCCTTTTTTATTATTTTATTAAAAGAATTGGTATGTTTAGTAAAACACTTGGTACATTTAGACTATCCCAAACTTTAATAGTAGAAAAACCTAAAATAACTGAACCCTACGTGATATACAAAGTTACAGTTTCTAAAATGGGAATGGTCGAAGTGTTATTTCACACGCAACGCAAAGCATTCAACATTCCCCTTCACCTTGGTGCTATAAAATCCCCATGTTTGGTTTGCCTTTGCCATTTCTCAAACACACCAACAAAAATGAAGTCTAATGATTATCTCCCAATGCCTCATCTGTTCCTAGTTTCTCTTCTCTTGTCGTATTCATGGCCGACTTTGGGCGACACTCACCAACAACACGACAGCTTCCTCCAATGCCTTTCTAGGCATCCAAACAACCCTGATTCCATCTCCACTGTCATCTACACTCCAAACAACTCTTCATTTTCATCCGTCTTTGCGTTTTCCCTTCGTAATGCTCGGGTTTCTACACCTACAACCCTCAGGCCTTTAGCCATCGTCACGCCGTCCCACGTTTCCCATATCCAAGCAACCGTTAATTGCTCGAGAAGTCATGGTTTGCAGGTTAGGATACGGAGCGGCGGTCATGATTATGAGGGCCTTTCCTACGTTTCTCAAGTCCCGTTTGTGATAATCGATTTGATTAACTTACGATCCATAGATGTCGACACGGAAAATAACACCGCATGGATTCAAGCCGGTGCCACCATCGGTGAAGTATATTACAGAATTGCGGAAAGAACTCCAACACTTGCTTTTCCGGCAGGTATTTGTCCCACTGTGGGCGTCGGTGGTCATTTTAGCGGCGGGGGTTATGGCATGTTGATGCGCAAATACGGACTCGCTGCTGATCAAATCATCGACGCGGAGCTCGTCGATGTTAATGGAAAGCTTCTTGATAGGAACTCTATGGGCGAAGATTTATTTTGGGCCATTCGAGGTGGCGGAGGAGCCAGTTTCGGAGTCGTCGTCGCGTGGAAAGTGAACTTAGTCACCGTTCCATCGACTGTGACTGTCTTTACAGTGAATAGAACACTGGAAGAGAATGGAACAATGCTTGTTCACAAATGGCAATCCATTGCACCAAAGATCAATGAAGATTTGTACATCAGACTCTTTTTAAGAGCTGTGAATTCGAGCCGACAAGATGGAACAAGAACAATACAAGCTTCTTTCACTTCCTTGTATCTTGGTAGAACTGATGATCTTCTTCCATTGATGCAAGAAAGCTTCCCGGAGCTCGGAATAACACGACAAGATTGTATTGAAATGAGTTGGATCCAAAGTATCCTTTACTTTGCCGAAATCCCACAAAGTGAACCATTAGAAATCTTGCTCAATAGGACAGGCACTGCAGTGATCTTTAAAGGGAAATCGGACTATGTCACGGAACCTATACCCGAAACCGGACTAGAAGGCCTCTGGCAATGGTTTTTCGAAGACGAATCGTTGCAGCTTATCTTCAGCCCCTATGGCGGCAACATGGACGATATTCCGGAGTCGGAATCGCCGTACCCTCATAGGGCAGGGAATTTATTCAACATTCATTATGCAGTGGCATGGGGAGAAGAAGATGCTGCATCATCTCAGTGGTATATAAACTTCATGAGAAGGCTATACGGATACTGAAACCCTACGTTTCGAAATCGCCTCGGCGAGCCTACATGAACTACCGGGACCTGGACCTCGGAACTAATAACAATGGCGTATACACCAGCTATAAACAAGCAAGCAAATGGGGTCTTCCATATTTCAACAACAACTTCAACAGATTGATTCATGTGAAGAGCTTGGTTGATCCCGGAAATTTCTTTAGACATGAACAGAGTATTCCTCTTTTACATATGTCGCGGCCGTCTTTCGAGTGGGCTCGGAATTGGGCTTCGACTTGAATAAAATGATTAGAGTC